TTGATTGGCTGTTTTTGCATGACTACCACATGCCAGGAACTGGATACAAGAGACACAAATGTGAATGAGGCAGAATAAGTAAGTCCACAGCTTGCCCAAGCCTAGTACCTTGTTTTTTTAGACAATAACCCAACAGTTAAATGGAGCAAGAGATTGTATGACTTAAGACATTGAAACAAAAGTTTATTTTGTACACTTGCACCCAAAACTAATGTATCTACAGGTGGTTTTTTTTTGGGGGGGTGGTCCTGAAGGAGGAAGGCTGAGAGGGATATGAACACTACCTGTCAAACCATCAAGCAACAGATGGGGTAAACACAGGCTGATTCAACCTAAATCCCAGTGTGGTACAATTGCAGACTACTCTTTGAAATCCAACGAGAGAGCATATTTAGGAAACATAAGATGGCATATGACTTTCTACTGTCACAAACTTATGACACCTGACCTCATGAGATAGAATAAGATCAGACAGAAGTGGCTGTGTGAAGAGGTGACATGATTCCATTCTAATGGAAGTCTTGGGCCTTTGCTCCACCAAGCCATCACACAGAACCTAAGATAAAGCACGTGGGAAAGGATGCTGACTCTCCCTAACTTGGAAACAGCTGGAACAGAGGGAGAAAACTCATAATGTGAAAACTGGTGAGATGTTTCCTTTCTCATTTTAAAGAAAGATCCTTATAAAAACTAATGAAGATTGTGTTTTTTTTTTTAGACCACTTTTTTTTTTTTATGGACCATTTCTTTGGCCTGACACTCCTACAGGTCAGTGGCTCTGGCTGCTCTGGTCCCTGGCTGACATAGATATAAAGCCACCTTCACACTGAGATTCAAAACTTGGCAGAAACAGGAGGAGCAAAATGTTGAGAAAAAAAAAACAACAAACAGTGAGAGCCTTACAAGGCAAATTCTGACTGCCCGATTCAACAGCGTAATAAAAACCTAGTGAATGTTAGCAGTACTCAGTTTAAAAACCCATCATGCTAGGGCTAGACTGAGCCTGTGTATTGCATATTTGCTGTATGCTAGTATGCTGTGATTGCCTGATCTTTGTAAGCTAGACTTCAACTAAAACCATTTCCTCTCAGGAGCTACCCTTTTTTCTCAAACGGAAAATTTTGAAAATAGGCAACCAATGGAAAAGCTAAATAAAATGCAAATGCTCAATCCAACCCATCCATAATTTCTAGTTAGAACAGCTGAACTCCTTTCTCTCTCTCTCTTTTTACATAACTGAAGTTACAACTGACTTACTTTGTTTTCCACTTTTAAAATATTAAATCAGGGATTTTGTTCCCCAGGGTACATTTAACAAGGTCCAAAAGCATGTTTGATGTTTACACTGGGGATGGTATCAAACTGGGGAGGGCCAAAGATACTGCTCAACCTCCTACAACACAGAGGAAAGCTTCCCAGAGCAAAGAACACATGGGCCAAAATGTCAGAGGAGTGGAGACCAAGGAACTCTTTGTTAAATAATTACCTTAACATCAGATTCCAGAATGGCCAATAACTCCTTTTCTCCTGGTTGAATTAAACCCCTCATGGAGAGGGATGTGCTGGCATCAAGGCTGCATTCCTCCAAAGTCAGATCGCTAGGCTTTTCCTAATCTTTCTCCACTATAGATAATGCTGTAATGGACATCTTCATTTAGTCCTCCCCTACTCAATGATTTCCTTAGGATAAATCCTCGAAGTCAGAAATATGGAATCATTGGATGTGGGGACGTTTCCACGTTTCAATGCTGTTCAGGAGTCATACTGCCATGTTGCATTGCAAATGGATTGCTCCAAATGACAATCTGCCAGAACTGTGTGAAGTGTCCTAGTTTCACCCAGACCTTGGCACCACCAGGTGTTACCACTTAAAAGCATGGGAGGAAGCATCAATCTCAAGTTCAAAAATAGCATCTTTAGTTTGCCTCAGTAGGCATGCAAACCGCTACTTGGGAGGAACACTTTTTTTCCTATTTATTTTTTCATTTTATTTTTGACATGGATTGCTTATGTCATTTGCTTATTTTTCCGACTGTCTGCACGTTTGAATTTTGAAATGGAATGTCACCTTTGCTGTGTATAGGTAGTAACTGTACAAGTCAATGCATCTCTCTCCAGCACGGCCATAGCTATGTTCAGGTATCCTTCTGGAGTTTTCATTGACACTTTCAATATGCCATTCACGGGCTGGTCACCTTCCCTTCCCTGCAGCCTCTACACGGAAAAGCCCTTGGAAGAGGAACAGCTTGTCTGGCAGTGGGTGTCAGCGACCCCAGCAGGAGCAAGACTCAACTCAGAAGCCATCCCGGGATCTAATTTCCCTTAATCAAACGGAAGGCCTGAGGAGGAGCCACAAGGCAGAAAGAAAAATAAATCCGAGGGAGAACAGCACCTTGGGCGAGGAGCTGGGAAGACCTGCATTAAAGAAAGGGCACTGTACCTCCAGGACTTAGAGCTGGCTGCGCTCTGCGTGCAGCTATTAACATGCAAAAAATACCTTCATAAATACTTGATTCTGGTCACAGTGGGGAGGCAGTTCATTTGAAAGAGGAAATGGGAGCTTGGAGTTGAAACACGTCTGCTTGTCTCCTTTTTCTTTTTTCATTGCTCTTTTCATCTCCACATTTCCCTTGTAGCTTTCTTCCCCCTCCTCCCCTCACCCACCCCGCCCCTTTCTCCCCCTACCAACTTCAGCCTCTCTTTCAACTCCCGGGAAGTTTGCTGATTCAGTTGCTGCTGCCGGATTTCCCTTGGTCTTGCGGCCAGGGTCCCTGGGTCAGGCGTGGAAGGGCTGCCTGGGGACCCTGCCACCCTCGTGCTTGGGCATCTGGAGTGCCGGCTCCAGACTTGCAGCCAGGAGACCGGGCCGCAGTCTCCAGTCCCACCAGCAGGGGGCACCCGGAGGTGGCCTGCAACGCTGGGCAACTGCAGGGACCCAGTGTCTTAGGCTAAGTCCGCGGTTAGACACTGCTTTCCGTATTTAGGCCTGCGCCTTCTCCTTAAAAATGGCGATATCAAAATCCTGCACCTTTGCAATCTCGGTGTCCTTTATCCTACCTACTCGCAGCCGGCACTGTGATAAAGGAAAAAAAAAAGGCATTTTCTAGGGCTGAGTCCCTAGGAGGGCTAGACAGACCCCCTGAAGATGGGGACAGGAGGCAGGGGATTCCCTACAGGAAAGAGGGAGCAGAAGTGGCCACTGCTGGTCCCCCCAAAGGTCCACGGTATGCCATGCCCTCGCCTGCTGCTGGATGGAGCTGGGTGGGGCTGGCCGGGACAGCAGTCTGTGGCGTTCGCCTGTGGCCCATCAAGGCAGGGAAGTGAATGAAGTTGGCTAGGCGGAGAGCTGTTTCTAAATCCCTTCCAGATGCTTTATAGTAAACATGAAATTAGTCATTTGCATGGAGTAGGTTGAGGAAGTAGTTAAAGTCAAGGCCAGTGATTAATCTAATAAAGGGCCATTAGTCTGGAGAAGTCAAGGAAGGGGGTGAGGGAGGCCAGGAAGACCCCTGGCTCTGCCCCCAGCTTGGCCCGCTGAGTCTGGGCTGTGGGGACCTCTGTGTCCTCTACCCTTGCCTGTCCTGCCAGGCCTCTCTCTGAAGGCACTAAATCGACAGGGACTAGAGCAGACTCTCGGGTTCTGGGGAGAACTAGGCCCATCTCAGCCCAGAGAGGTCCCCACCCCTGCCCAGCAGGCTTGCCACAGCCTCGCAGGGATGCCTGTTGGGTGCCAGTGCGGGGCTGTGTGCCATTAGCAGCAGCGAGGGAAACTCATGTCTGTGTCTGACCTCAGAGGGGACCTGGCCTGCCCACTGTGGGCGTCCAACTGGAACCTTAGGACCCAGGTCAGGCACACGGATAAAAACAAGTTCCCGTTAGTCATGAGCTGGAGGGAACTGGAGAAAGGCGGAGTATGATGTGCAGCAGGGAACTGGGCCTGAAGGAGGAGTGGAGAGGGCGGCCTGGAGACTGTCACGCAACAAGGGGAGAGACCTGGGAGGTCCCTGGAGCCAAGCGGCTGCGCCCGCCTCAGGTTTTCTGAGACCCTGGCTGCGGCTCTAGGAATTCCCCCAGGGCCCTTTCTAAAGAGAATTTGAAGACAGGCTCAAAGCTGCCAATGAAGTCACACACTTATAAATATTTGTGAACACAGGCCTTTGAACCACTCATAGATATTCCTAACCCATCCGGGGAAAGCATTTTCTTTCTTTCTTCATGATTATTCTTGTCTCTCTTTTCCTGATGGCTAATCTCCTCTCCCATTAGGAACGGAAGGCAGGACCTTCGCCTTGTTTTTTTTTCCTGACCTGATATGTGACTCCTGCAAAAGTCAAGCCTGGTTGGCCTTCAGTTTGTTTTCTGTGATTTCAGTTGCCCATGGAAAATTCCAGAGATAACCGACGTGCTTTAAATTGTGTGCCATCTTGAGTTACCCGGTGAAGTCTTAGGCTGTCCTGTTGGGTCCCATTCAGGCCATGAGTCATCCCTCTGCCCTGTGTGCTACCTGCCCGATGGATACTTGGTGGCTTTCTCATTTATCAGATCCACTGTCAAGGGATCGCAGGGCTTGTGGTCAAGTAACCCTTATTTTACTAAACAGTCGCCTCAGAGTGCCTGAATCCTGAAGCTGGCAGCTTGGAGATGCCAGAGAGAGGACAGAAAATGCATTCTTTAATAAGTGAGAAGTCTGGATGTCTCAGACAACACATAGCATACAGGCATCTAGATATTCTTCATGGTTTTAGGCGTTCCCTGCAGGGCCTGCAGCACACTCCCATGGATAACAGAAAACTACGCTAAGTCAAGTTCAGATATCCCAAGTTCAAGAGTAAAACAACTACTGTGATGATGTCGTCTAATTGCCTCATTTTACTGATTAGGCAGGTGAGGCCCAGAGAGGCCTCCCTCCAGAGCCCCACGGAGGTCACACAGCAAGCTGGGACTAGAGCCCAGGAGTCTGGATTCTGAAGTCTCAGGCTCCTTCAGAGCTGATCCTGTACCTGCATCTCCATTGTCGGGCTCAGAGGCAAGGCTTCAGACAGAGTCATGTGGAGATTACTTTTGGATTCAGTGTCTGCTGTGGGGGAAAAAGAAATCAGAGAGAAAATGCAGTAAGGTCTTCAGCTCTAGGTCTCATGGATTTTTATTTCTATCATATACCTACATGGCCGGTATATGCACATTAAGGCGTCTACACACACTGACACCTCTGTCAGTAAGGACCCACGCGACAGCTGTCACCTCTACAGGTACAGGTAGCACACTCAAACCTTCTCCTTGGATTGACATATTTCTGGTTTCAGTTGGTCTTGAAAAAAATCAGAGTAAATCCTTTGTGCTATTAAAATTCAGATAAAGCTGAAATTAAAAAGGAAATATTGATGGAAAAAAAATCTGCTGATGCTGGTAGATATAAATTTTGTATGTTCGTACTCCACTGAAGTGGCAAAACACTCCTGCCACCTTCCAGATAGAGAGATCTGCCTTTCCCCTGCTAGCGGGGAGGGCAGCAGCAGAGGCAGGAATACCAAGCAGAGCCCGAGGCCAAGCTGGGGCTGGGCGGGGCGTGCAGGGGATGAGGGATTTGCAGGGTTCAGGGGTCCGGCTATGAGGCATGTGCCACGCAGACCCGAGGTGGGCTTGGCATGCACCCCCTGGAATGCTCCATTGTGCTGAGGGTTGCAGCATAGAGTACCTAGCACCAGGAGCTGTACCCCTGGTGAGGTCCTGGTGAGCCCAAGGCTGCCAACTTGATGGTTTGAGAAGATAGGATTTACTGCAGTCTCCCCTTCCCATGGAAACAAATTATCAGGGGAAATTTAAGATTTGACTAGGTACATGCCCCAACTGACAAGGCTTTTAGTCCCTTCTAGGGAACCAGTGTTCAACAAAAAAGTTCTGTCCATAACCGGTACTCCTAAATAGCTCTCGTGAGAGCTTCTGATGCCCTCTGTCTCTGGGTCTTCTTGACCTGAGGCCCAGAGAACAGTTCATGCTGTTGGCTCAATGCCACATCATGAAACAATGCCCAGCCAGGACCCAGGACCCAGATGTCTTATACACTCCCCTCCACATCCTGCCATCTCCTCTACAGCCTCACTTGGGCTTGCCATGTCACAGCTGTTTGGCCACAGGCCATCTTCTGGACAGATCCAGCCCGGCAGAATTGTGTTGTGATGTGGTTCACTTCACTGTGGCTTGGAAGGAATCATGGCTCTCTTAGAAACAAAACTTATAAATTCTAATGCAGGAGGAAAGTGCTTGTAACACCAGGAGAATGAATCAGTCAGCCAGAGTTCAGGAAACATAAACACCATTTTTAGATAGGAGACTGAAAAATCACTTAGGACTTCTCCATCTCTTGGGTCAAGACCTTGGGAATGTACTGATGGCCAAGCTGTCAAAGAGGAGATACAACTCAAACTGCATTCCTGGGAGCGCAAGCAAACGGGAGTGGTCAGACTTCCTCTTGGAACAATATGGCAGGATCCACCCGTTATCAGGTCAAAGAAACTGACTACGCTATCAACCCTCCCAGACAAAGGGCTGTGAATGCAGGGCCCAGCTCATGCTCATTGTTCAGGAGTCAGGGTGTGCTCAGCCACAGAGCACACACTGTTCAACTCAGGCCCGAAGCGAGAAGCTCATGGCCTGTGATGAACGCTTATGCCATGGGAGAGATAAACAGAAAATGCATTCCTTCCCCGGCGGCCCACCGGCCGGCCTGAGCAGATTTTCAAATGCCGGCATTCATCTAACCGCAGGCTTTTAGCAAGGAGATAGCACTCCCACCAGATAACCAGGCCATTTCAGAGATGACCCTTTCCTTGATGGTGCCTCATCCTAAACCTCTCCTGCCTCCTCCACATCATGGGATGCCTCACCAAACACTCACTACTTAAAAAGCATTGGATTCTAGGGTGGAATATAGCCCCTTCAGCTTCCTTCCACTTCAATCAGTGTGAACTAATTCCCAAGCTGCTACTGTGCCTTGTTTTAAGGACATCGGAAACACAGTTCTATTATTTTTATTGTCCCAGAACACTTAAGTCTCCTGGCAATGGATACTCTGGGGGTCTCATTTGATGTCAGATAATCTGACTCCAGAAAGTTACCTATCAGGCCAGGTGGGCCACCTGAGCATGTCAGCTCTTGGGAAAGAACAGCAGGTCAGGAGGCTCCAGATGGCCAACTTGGTTACACTGGGAAAGCTCCTTGAAATCAACCTCTTTAGGGTCTTTGTCACATATGCCATTTCTGAGTGGCACCTCCTTTGATGGTCCATCACTAGGGTAGGAGATAGGGGACACGTCTGCTGCCAGACCATTCTCAGGAAGCCTTCTCATAGCTTGGCACAGACGCCTATATGCAAAGGCCTTACATGTGAGCCCGGGTACCTCCATAGTTTTGTGCGTGGGGTCACAAATGGAAAATACAAATTCAAATGTCAGATTGTTACCAAAAAATTCTTTCCACTACAAGCTTAGCTATAAAAGGATAATTCTAGTCCTGCTGACCTTTTCTTAAGAATATCTAAAAATACTTTATTTTATATGATGTGACTCAAGACACCTCTGACCTATAGAGTATGTGTAGGGTTCTAATAAATTTTGATTCTGTTTGTTTAATGCAGATGACAGAGACCCCGAATGGCCTCCGGTACTGTCATTAGCAAATTCTTGGGACAAGATTTAAGACCCTGTTTATGCTACATATTTTCCCTTTAAATTTTCCTGGATGAGTATGAGAGTGAGACAGCATATCAAACAGTTGCTAGAGACCTGAGAAAATCTCCAGGTTACACACATATCACTGGGAGCGCCAATTAAGGAGCCTTGTGGACAGTTGTAGAAAGTATGAGTCAATCTGAATTTAAATAAGGAAATGCCTAGTAAAGGCAAAGGCATTGTTTGTCTTCTAGTTTGAAATAATAGTTTTTTCAGACCAAGGCTAGCTTGGTCTCAGGGGTCTGGCTTGAGCCTTGGGAACACCAACTCCTCTCCCAAGTTATAAATGACTTTTTATGGAGAGGTCTGAAGGTGCATGGCTGTTCACCAAGCCCCAAATGGAAGCCAAGCTAAATGCCAGAATTTGTTTTGTTGGGAGGCAATATATATATATATATATATATATATACACACATATATCAACTGCCTGAGAAGCTGTCAATCAAAATTCACAATAGGATCAAGGATCGAGGGAGGAGGCTGAGGGCTCGGCTGTAACTTGTTCTGGTTCCTGGCTCCAGCTCCGGCCTTAAGTTTCCACCAGTGCACACGCTGGGAGGCAGTGGTGTTGGCTCATAGAATCAGGTTCCTGCCACCATGTGGGAGACCAGGATTGCATTCCTGTTCCTGGCTTCGGCTTTGGGCTAGTCCTAGAAATTTGGGCAATAAAACTGCTTACAGGGGGGAGTTTGTCTGTCTCCCTATCTCTCAAAAGAAAACAAACCGATACTATAAAGGTGAGAGTAGACACTCTTATTTAGTAAAAAAAAAAAAAAAAAGGACCAAAGGTATACAACTTGAGTCACAGAGTGGTCTCAATTTCTGGAAAATAATGTTCTTAGTTACTAACTTTCAAGTGAACACAGGCCTCTAACAGCCCACACCACAGGCAGACATGTGGAAGAAGTCAGAGAAAGTAGAAGGATGAAAAATCTCTATTAAACATCTCAAACTTCTTTATGGTTATTTTTTCTTTTAATATTTATTTTATTGGAAAGGCAGATGTACAGAGAGGAGGAGAGACAGAGAGGAAGATCTTCCGTCCGATGATTCACTCCCCAAGTGGCCGCAATGGCCAGTGCTGCACTGATCTGAAGCCAGGAGCCAGGAACTTCCTTCTGGGTCTCCCATGCGGGTGCAGGGTCCCAAAGCTTTGGGCCATTCTCGACTGCTTTCCTAGGCTGCAAGCAGGGAGCTGGATGGGAAATGGAGCTGCCGGGATTAGAATTGGCGCCCATATGGGATCCTGGTGCGTTCAAGGCGAGGACCTTAACCATTATGTTATTGCGCCCGGCCCGAACTTCTTTATGGTTTTTAATGAGAAGATAACACAAACATCTAGACGGTTGATTTGGAAAATCACATCGATGAATTGCTGATTATTGAATTACATTTTTGATCATTTGGAGAAAAATTAATCTTGCAAAGCTAATTCTAGATTGAGAGATGGCAGTGACATACAACTTCCTCTGCCCCTCCAACAAATCCAGGTTTGTCTAAAATGTTTTACTGTGGGTTGCCCAACCCCTCACACACCACACACAAGGTGCAACTAGTGAGCTGTCAATCCTGGGCCCTTGGGGAGGACGCATCCTGAGCATTTGAAGACTCCTTGGGTTTGTGACTACCATGGAACTGAGGGTAATGAAAAGAAGGGAGTTCCTGAGCTTCTTTAATGAGACTCTAAAAAAAAAGGAAGAGCAATTCATAAAACTTTGTGGGCATAGAATCATCAACTTGGTAGGCCACTTTCTCTTACTTCCTTCTTTGACTCTAGTGGCTGACTTGCTTTCTAGGGCTGTTTAAAATGTTCTTTTTTTTCCCTCATGCTTTTGTAAAATGACAATTGATATGTGTGTCTGACTTCTTAGGTAATTTTTTTTTATTGGAAAGTCAGATACACAGAAAGGAGGAGAGACAGAGAGGAAGATCTTCCACCTGCTGATTCACTCCCCAAGTGGCTACAACAGCTGGGGCTGAGCTGATCTGAAGCCAGGAGCCAGAAGCTTCTTCCAGGTCTCATATGCGGGTGCAGGGTCCCGAGGCTTTGGGCCGTCCTTGACTGCTTTCTCAGACTAAAAGCAGGGAGCTGGATGGGAAGTGAGGCCACAGGGATCAGAACCAGTGCCCATATGAGATCCCAGCATGTGCAACATGAGAGAACTTTAGCCGCTAGGCTACCATGTCAGGCCCTAAATAGCTTTTTATTTTTAAATTTAGATGTCATTTTTTATGTAAGCATTCATTAAAGCCAAGTGGCCAACAAAAAAACCAAATACTTGTAAAGAGCCATACAGGTTATTCTAATGAATAGATGTTTTAAAAAATTTACTTGTTTTTGTTTATTTGAAAGGCAGAGACAGAGAGAGCTAGCTGTCTCCTGCTCAATGTAGCCAGGGCTAAGTCAGGCCAAAGCCAGGTACTGGGAACTCAATTCAGGTCTCCCAGACAAGTGGCTGTTTGAGCCTTTATCTGCTGCCTCACAAAGTGTGCATCAGCAGGAAGCTGGAGTTGAGCAGAGTTGGGACTTGAACCCAAGCACTCTGAGATGGGATGCAGACTTCCCAGCTAGCGTCTTAAGCACTGTACCAAGCATTTGCCCTGACAGATATCTTAGACTGCTCTTTGTACTTCATTTTGGGAACATCAGGCATGTTCCGAGCAATGTTATATCCAAACAAACAGGGTGGAGGGTAGTGCTATGGCATAGCATGCTGGGTCTCCGCCTGAAGCACTAGCATCCCATATGGGCACTGGATAGAGTCTTGGTGAATCCAATTCCAATTCAGGTTCCTGAAAATGGCCTAGGAAGGCAGAGGAAAACAGTTTAAGTCCTTGGGTTCTTGTACCCATCTGGGAAGCCCAGAGGAGGAACTAGATGTGAAATAACACACTTGCAAGTCAAATGACAATAAGTAGAGGCAATTTTTCTAAGAGAAAAGCTTACCTTTCAGGAATGACTGAATACTAAATCCTTGCTCTGTATGGTTGATACTTGAGCTGACAGATTCACGGGCTGAAAAGCAAAATGGAAAACTTAATTCAAAGATGTGAAACCCAGTAATTATGCTATGGAACGAACCCAGATGCTGGTCAACTGATGATTGGATAAAGAAAACGTGCTATAAATTACACTCTGGAATCCTATCGACCATGGAAAAGAATGAAATCTTAACAGTTTGCAACAGAATGGACCCAGTTGGAAACCATTATGCTTGGTGAAACATGTCAGTCTTCAAAAGGCAAATATCATATATCCTCTCGGAGCTATAACAACTCATACACAGAGCACAAAAATATAATCCCTGTGAGTGAGATTAGCTTACTGGGAATTAAATGCTGTACACAGCCCCTACACTCGTAATAGCAGGATTCCCATTTCTATTTTGCTTTATTTATATAATTTTCTTCTTTCTCTGCTTGTATGTCATGGAGTCTTTATATACTACAAAGTTAAGTTTATTTATGTGAAGCAAATGAATATGCTATTATAGTAATTTGGAAAAAATAATGGTGGAGGGCAGAAACAGGGAAGGAGGAGGTGGGCTGGGGAGGGAGGAATCCCCATGCTTGTAAATCTGGCTCTAGGAAAGTGTGAAATCTACTCATTTTATAAATAATAATTATAATGATAAGGTGAAACCATCTTTTGAAAAACCACTTCTTTCCTTCTTTTCCCAAGACAGTGGGCTGTCATCCATCTCCGGCTTCAAGGTAGATGCCTGCTTGCTTAAGCCTGATAGCAAGCTGGATGGTTTCAAAATCCTTTAGCATCATTATGGAGGGAGGGCTGATGCAGGATTTCAAAACGCACTCAGGGAAATAATGTTTCTATGAATGATATTTAAAGGTGAAACAGGGCAGGGCCAGAAAATCCTGCCAGGGGAACTTCTGACAGAGCAAGAGCATGAAACAGTTAATGTTTGAGCCAAGCTGTGAGGAGGTGCCCAGATCTGTACAGCAGCAGATGTGTGGTGTGTGGGGCCTTGGAGTCTGCAGCCATTGTGGGGGCAAGAGGGACAGATGGCATAGGAGCCCCGGCTCCAGCGGGGACTGGGCCAGGGGACTCAGGAGGAACCTCATCGAATTCCAGCTACAAGACATTTTTACAGCCCCGACTCTGTGTATGTGTGTGTATGTGATTTGTTCGAGTCACCCAGGGTGAGAAGTGTTCTCCTCACTGTCCTAGTCAATCATAGTGAATGTGACTTGAAGCAACGCTAAAGAGAGTGAGGATGACAGACCTGAGAGAGACAGGTAAGGGAGGTGCACTTGCTAAGAAGTCCATTGAGTGTGCTCCACCGGAAGAGCATTTTCAAAAACATTTTGAGAAGGCAGAGAGACAGAGACACATGGAGCTCTTGTATCTGCTGCTTCACTCTCCATAGGTATACATTAGCTAGGACTGGGTCAGCCTGAAGCCAGGAGTCAGGGACTCCAGCTGGGTCTCGTATGTGGGGGGCAGGGACCCAAGCACTTAGGACCATCATCTCTTGCCTCTTAAGATGTACAGTAGGTGGAAGCTGGATTGGAAATGGAGGAAGGACTTGAACCCAGGCAGTCTGATATGTTATATGGGCACCCCAAGTGGCAATTTAACCCCACACGGCCATAACCCCTGTCCTGGAAGAGCAGTTTTTGAAGGAAAATTTGGGGAGGGGGGAAGAGAGTATTAAGCAGGTAGTAATAGAGACAAAATCACAGAAAATGCAAAATAAAGCTCAGAGCCAAAAAGATTCAGGGAACTTCCAGACTCTTTTTCCAAGCTGATGTATTTGTTTTTGCCTACACATCTCAATAGTGAAAACAAATATACTAGAGAGGTTGCCAAAAAAGGATGTTTGAATTTCCTGAATCTTCCTGGCTGCTGTGGGACTTAGGAAGGCCTGCCTCTTGGTACGCTCCTGTCTCGGCATGCACACAGGTGCCCACATGTACCCGACAGTACCAGGCTGAGCCGGCAACCTGGGATTCTGAGAGCCAACACTGGAGAGAGGAAAAGCCATAATTCGTGTTAATTGTTGACCCTACAGTTCAAGAATAGATGCTCTGGAGAATGGAAAATGAGAACAAACATTAATTATTGAGTAGGGACCTTGGAGACAGACACTCTGGATTAAAAGGAGAGAGATAAATTGCATAATGAATGTTAATTTTCCCTCAAAGAATTGAGTGGTCGGTGGTTGAAAGGGAAAAGCGAGGCTCAAACAGTCATGAAAGAGAACCCTGTGTGTGTGTTGGGCGAGAGGGGATAGGAGGGTTAGACAAACACTTTCCATCACTGCCTCACAACTCCCGAGAAAGCTGCTGTCAGATCTGCCTCAGCACTGCCATGATTGGCCACAGTTGTCTGCTTGGAAGTTCAGCCACCGCCCTACTGCACACAAGCCAGAGAACAACCACATGGCAGCTACCAGCCAAGAGGCCCAGGACACTGCAGTTTCATTTTTTTTATTTTGGGGGGTACTGGTGGAGATTTGAGCTTGAGGGTGGGTGTGCATGGCATAGTGGGGTGAGGTTATCATTTGAGATGCTTGCATTTCATGTCAAGGTGCCTGCTTTGAGTCCCAGCTCCTCTGTTTCTGACTCAGCTTCCTGTTCACACATCTTAGGAGGCAGCAGATAATGGTCCAAGTATTCAAGGACCCTGCCATCCATGTGGGTAACTCGGATGGGGTTCTGACCTCCTGGCTTTGACCTTGCCCAGCCTTGGCTTTTGCAGGCATTTATGGAATAAACCAGCAAGTAGAAAAATCTTTTTCCCTCTTTGCCTTTTTCAAGTAGATAAAAATAAACAAATATTAAAAAAAAAAAAAAGAGTTGAGGCCCCCGGAGCCATGGGCCATGGGTGTTTCTCTGAGGGACATGTGGACTCCTGGACCTTAATTGTTTTATCTTAATGACAACACACAAATCCCTTCCCCCAAAGTAATCTGCTTAACTGAAAGTAAAAAGGGAATAAAGGGACCCTGAGTAGAAGATCAAAGATAGGAGCAGAAGCCAGTGGTGTGTGGTGAACACCAGCAGGGCGGCCACTGGTTGCTGGGATTCCAGGAACATGGTTGAAAGCCTGTTTCAAGTTAGCAGCTCTGGGGACCTTCCCTTTTGCCCACTGCCTTCCATTCAGGGCTTCATCAGCTGTTGTTTGGGTGATTTTGCTGTGGCCAGAATTCTCCGCCATTCCTCTTGCTTGGACACTGGGCTGTGTGACATTTCTCCTCAAACATGTCATCCCTTGTTGTCTAAAAAGCATCATATTGGTTCTCCACTGGCACACAAGGCAGTCTCTGGTCAGGCCCTGACCTGCCTTTTGGGCCCAGTTGCCCCTATGAGGCTCTTTTCTTACTCATTCACACTGGGCTACTGCTTGTTTCCCACATGCTCCACTTTCCTACCTCTTTGTCTTTGTTCTTGCAGGTCCCTCAGCTGCATGCTTCTCCCTCCCCTTCCCTCTTGATCCATATCTACTGAAGTCTCAAAGGTCAGTACAAATCAAGATTCATTTGCAAAAATCCTTTCTAGTCTCCAGGACTGGAGTTAATCATTCCTTCCTTCATTCACTGAATGCCCTGAGCTATGTTGCTTAGGTCTTGGCTGTGCACTCATTTCTTACAGCCTGGTAGTTCTACAATTTGGATACAAGTTTGAATCTTGAACATCCCTGGGGTAGAACCTTTGGGAGGTGGGGCCTGTGTGGTCCTTTCATTCTTCCGGACATGCCCTCTGGAGATGGATATTTTGAGAGGGTTGTTACAGAAGCTGAATCTGGGTCCAGTCTCTGAGCCACCCAGCTGACCTTGGGATCTTTCCTGTGTACCTGTTCTGTCTGCATGGGCCCCTGCCCAGAGCCAAAGCCTGCTCCAGGCCTTGCAGACTCCAACTCTAAAACTAGGAGTTCCATAAACGTCTCTTTATTTCATAAATACTTTATCTCGGTCATTTTGTTGCAGTAATGAAAAGCTGACTGACACAACCCTTCACTAGAACTGTCTGAGATCCCTGAGGGCAGATGTCACAAGGCCTAATGTGAGCCTTCGGAATTAGGGTAAGGAGAATAGATAGGCCTGGGACCAAGATCTTACCCTTGCCCTTATCAGGTAGGTTAATTGCCTGTGTTTCAACTTCCTCACCTATGACATGAGAATGAAAATCTTCCATAAGGTTATTGGGATGATGGAATGGGATGACACACGTATCACAGTGCCCGAGTCTCTGCTGCCCCAAAAATATCCTTTCATGTCCTAGTACATGGTAGGTGTTCAGTACTTTGTGTTGAAGTACTTAAGCACACTTGTCGAGAACCTTTTTTCTTTCAGCTCCAGTGATATCCTTTTTAAAAAAGATTTATTTATTTATTTATTTTGGAAAAGAGGAAATGAAATTATCTCTATTTGCAGACAACATGATTCTCTATGTAGGAGAACCAAAAGACTCAGTCAAGAGACTACTGGAACTCATAAGAGACTTTGGCAGGGTAGCAGGATACAAAATTAATGAACACAAGTCGATGGCACTAGTGTATACAAATAATTCCATGGATGAGAAAGAAATTGTAAGTATAGTCCTCTTTAAAACAGAGGAGAAGAATCTTAAATACCTAGGAATTAAGCTAACTAAATATGTGGAAGACTATAAAACATTTAAAAAGGAAATAGAAGAAGACCTTGAAAAATGGAGAAAATTACCATGTTCCTGGATTGCAGGAATCAATATCATCAAAATGACCATATTACCAAAAGTAATACACAGATTCAATGCAATCCCAATCAAAATCCCAACAACATTCTTTTCAGAAATAGAAAAGATAATACAAAAGTTCATCTGGAATCACAAAAGACCATGAATAGCCAAAGCTATCCTGAAGAATAAAAATCAAGCTGGAGGAATCACAATTTCAGACCTCCAGACATACTACAGAGCAGTGGTTATCAAAACAGTCTGGTACTGGCACAGAAACAGAGAAGAAGATCAGTGGAACAGAATAGAAACACCAGAAGGAAATCCACACATGTATAC